GCGAAACACAAGCAGTCCCCCCACCCGAAGCAATCGACTCGCGAACTATCACGGCCTGGACAGCTTGTGGTCATCGACAACATGGGGCCTGTTAATCCACCTGCGAAATATAAAGGAGGCTCCTTCCCGTAGGCGTGCAAGATCACCGACGACTACATGAAGATGGAAGAAGTTTACCTGCTTCGCAAGAAATCTGACACGACCGAGGCGGTGCACACGTACAACATGTGCGTCGCAGCGGCAGGAGGCTACCGGATCGAGACCANTACGCCATACTCGAAGTTGCACAATAAGTCACCTGATCTCTTGGGACTTCGGGTCATTGGAGCGCGCGCCTTCGTACACCACGAGAGATACCGAAAGATGCTGGACGACAGAGCTTTTGAAGGCAAGCTATGTGGTTTCGGCCTCGACAGCCAGACCTACCGAGTATTGAATCCATCCAACGGGGCCGTGGTCGAGAGCCGGAATGTGACTATTATCGAATCTCCACCCCACTCAGTGCCCTTCCAGTATTCCATTGAAGCAAATGGGTACATGAGCAACGTGGTGAGCTTCACCTCCCTGCTGGACAGCCCCCACTCGACGAGCGACCTGGACTTCACGGCGCAGAACGAACTCCTTCGGCAAGAAGTCCGGAAGATGCAGCAAGGCAATCTCGCTCGGGAGGAGCTTCGCCTACAACTGGACGGGCACGAGGACGCACATGGAAACGGGCAAGATCTCGGCGACGGGGACGCTCCATCACCACATCTCCCATCGACGCCAGCTGGATCGTCATCCGAGACCCACGCATCTAGCCCCAGTCCATCATCGTCGAACCCGACTGAACCGGACACTTCTGCATCAACTGGATCCTCCGACATGCGGCGCCTGCAAGTCACCAGAGCCAGCACGCGCGGGAAGCCCACCAGCGACGATCATATCGACGTCAACGTGGTTCCTGCCAATCTGGAAGTCATCATGAACGACCGCGGTCGAGCCCATGCTATAACGGGCTGCGCAGAGCCATCCGGTCNACCGGACACTTCTGCATCAACTGGATCCTCCAGCATGCGGCGCCTGCAAGTCACCAGAGCCAGCACGCGCGGGAAGCCCACCAGCGACGATCATATCGACGTCAACTTGGTTCCTGCCAATCTGGAAGTCACCATGAACGACCGCGGTCGAGCCCATGCTACAACGGGCCGCGTGGAGCCATCCGGTCTTTCCTTCACTCAGCTGGCTGAGATAGCCGATCAAGCCCAGCTCCCATGCCCTGGCGATACTGAGGATTTCGCCCACGTTGCGGAAGACCCCTTCACGGTGCCGCGTGCTCACGCCTACGTCACGACCACTCACGAACACCACGGGATCTTGGAGGAGACGAATCAAGCGATCAAAATCCCCAACACCTACGACGAAGCCATGCGCTCTCCCCAGCGCGAAGAATGGAAAGGAGCGTGCAGCAAGGAAATGGACAATCTGCTGAAACACAACGTCTGCAATCTGGTGCCCCTCAGCAGCGTTCCCAAGGGAGAGAAGATCCTCGGAACGAAATTCGTCTTCAAGAAAAAGCTGGATGGACGCTTCAAAGCTCGCCTGGTAGTCGGAGGACATCGTCAAGAGCCAGGACAGGACTACGGACGCAGCTACGCACCAG